CCATTTAATGAGGGTGTTTTCGCCTTAAACCTTCAGTTCGGCCACACAAAAAGGTGGCCCGAAAGGCCGGCGGGGATGGGTTGGGAGAAATCTCTCTTCCAGTTTCGTCAGACAGGGCATCAGTTGTAAAATCCATGCTGCTTTTTTAAAAGACCCGGGTTTGTACTTACAGTGAAAGGCTCTGCTGCATCCACCAGGGTTAAAAGCACTCCCTCCACGTTTCCCTCTGACTTAACCAAGCACCGCAGCTCACATACTTTTTATTCCTGAATGAAAAGCTCAACAACCTGGCCGGGTTTCATCACAAAACCAAACTCTCCCATTAAAAAGAAAAAAGGAAAGGAAAGGGGGGGGGGAAGGCGCAGCTACTCTGGCCCCACCACTCCCCACAGTCTGGGGAACAAGGATCGCAGCTCCCGCTGGAGGGCAAATCCGAGTTTAGACCCGACGAGGAGCGAAGGAGCGAGTCCGTCTGTCCGTCAGCGAGAGGGACGGCTGTGGTGGCGGCGGTAGCGGCAGCCGCCGCGGGCTGTGCCTGCCAATTGAACGTGTGTGTGTGTGTGTGTGTGAGTGTGTGGGGGTGCGCGCGGGGGGGGTGGAGGGGGAGAGAGGGACGGCGTAAGAGTTTGTGTATGTGAAAGAGAAAGAGAGAGAGAGAGAGAGTCGGGTAAGCGAGTGCGGAGGTTGTTGGTTTCTTCAGAGAAAACAGCCCACGAAGACTTTTCCCAGGAAGGCTTAAAGTCAGAAATGGCAACCAAGAGTTCGTCTCCAGCAGCAGCAGCACCAGCAGCACCGCTCAATTCCAAAAAGCGCCGTTCCTGAAATTCCCGCTCAAAATCCCACTTTGGGAAGCCGAGGCGCTCTCTCGCTCTCTTTTTGCCCCCTCAGCGGACGCGGCCCGAGATAGGCTCGCTCCGGAGGCTGAGCAAACAAAGAAACAGCCCAATCTTCATCTCTCTCTCTCTCTCTTTCTGCCTATAAGTTTGCCCACTCGTGTAGGTCTATCCCAAGGTAGTCCTTAAGGCTTCACTCTCTCCCCCTCACCCCAACCCCACCCGCACACAACCACAACGCCCCGCTTTCGCCTTTTGTTTATTTGTAATGCAAACCACAGCTATTCTCTCCCGTCCTCCTCCTCCTTATTGGTTTAACAACTGCTAACAATCGGGACTCGGGCCTGGGCTGGCTTATCTGAGAGGCAACCTTTGCGGGCGAGCAATTTTGGTATGCAAATGAAGGATCCCGCGGTATGTGAATAAACAGCTGAGGGGGAAGAAAGCAGCCGGAGTGCGCCCTGTCAAGAAACGGGTTGGGGTTCCCCCCACCCACCCCTTTGCTTGCTTGCTTGCTTTTTAAATTCCCCCCCCTCCCTGCCGAGGCATTACTATCACCACCCAGTCATTTATAGCTACGGTAGGAGGACGCGAGGAAGTCTTATCTTCGCTCTCCGAGCGACCTGTCTTCTTTTCTGCCCGGGGGAAGTTGGGAGATGAATGAGGTGGACTGAGGGAATCGTTTCACGGGGCATTTTCTTTTAAGGTAGATTTCTATCCTCAAGGAAGGCCAGAAGAAAGGACGAGCCGGGAATTCAGCCGAGAAAATCTCCCTCAAGAAGATGACGAGCAAGCAGCCCCCACTGTTCAAAGCCAGGCAACGATCACGGCTGAACTCGGTGGGATGTGTAACAGATTTGTTCCGGGCTGCCTAATAAAGGAGCAAAACTACGAATACTTGAAAAAAAAGTCAATTCTGAAATGTTTAACCTGCACTAAACCCTGCCCTGTGCCAACATCAAGCAATCTGACACAATAACCACAAACCTTTCAACAGTCCATAATGTATAGATACAAACGACAGTGGGCAAAATGAATCATTTGAACACAATCCTACTTAGATTTCATTTTTCTTGTTTCTTTTTTTTCTTTTCGTGGTAATTATACACTCATTCTTCCTTGTCTTCTTATTATAAGGGTTTGTTCCCATTATGTTTATGTTTTTTTTCTTTTATGCATCTAAAATAATTAGGAAATTATTTTTTTTAAAAAAAACTTTGTATAAATGACTGACCTAATGTTTTTAGATTATTCTTCACCAATTATGTTTTAATACCACTGTTACTTATTTAAAATTCAAAATAACAAAATAATACAGTAAGTCAGAATAACTTATTTAACCAATCTTAGGATACACAGGTACCGTTGTAAATGAACCGTGCCCCCTCAAAAATAAGTAATTCGCTTCCAAAGGGAAAAAAAGCTGCAAGCTGTCTATAAAGCTCAAATGCCCTCAATGAAACTGGTTTCAAACTTACATTTAGAATCTGTTTCACATTCTTGTATCATATATTGAATCTAGTCTTACCTTCAGTTAATACGTTTTGTGAACAGAAGCCTTTCTTATACATGCAAGATGTCTTTTAGCTGCAATGTCCAACTTACACATTTTCTGAAGAAACTATATTGATGAAACTTCCCAGGAAGACAAAAAGTTGTGCCATGGTATCTTGAACCGACACAACTAGGATGTCTCTTTTCTTCAGCACAGGAAAAAGTCATGGGACAGACGTCTACCATATATGGAAGGTTAAGGTCAAAATCCACATATTTCTATTGGGTCTGTCCCTGTAGCCAATATAAACAGAGGTACTGCCTTCTTTGTATTGCTGAAACTTCATGCTCAAAGTGCTGTTTATAATGCTTGATTATATGGTGCTAGAAATAAATTTATTGAAACATCATACTTTTTATTGGCCATGATAAAATGATTCCACCCGAAACTTATCAGTACAAATGAAATTATTTTTTTAGAAAACGCTTGTTTCTCCAGGACACTGTTAAAACTGAACTTTTACTAGAAAGAATATTAAAAGTAGATGACTACTTTGCCCTTCCCGTTTTGCAAATAGGTTAGGCACAAAAAAAAAATAATGCAACATACTAAGTATTATAAGTTTCTAAAATGAAAATATAGTTATACCAATGAAAATATCATTCTAGTAACTATCTTTAGAATTTTGGCAATGGATACTAAAGTAATTCCTTTCATCTGTTTTATGTCCAGATCAGTTGGAATATATGGAATAAATTAAGTTTGAATTTGTCTCTTACAATTGTTTATACACAAATATATGTTTACAGTTGTTAACAGACAAGTAGCTTATTTTCTGTATAAGACAGGTGTATGCAGATCAACAGAGACCTTGGATTTGGAGGAGATTCCACTGTGAATATTTTAATAATCTTTTAATAAAGCTTAGATGCATGGTTAATACACTGATGAGATGTAAAATGTAATTGCTTTTTAGGTAATACAGTACTGTGTGATATGAAATATCTCATCTGACAACTGTTTGACAAAAGAGAACTAGTTGCCAAAACATCAACAGCATCTGCAAAATGTATTTCAGTACAAACAGAATGTTTTTAATGTAATTTCTTCCATTTTGTGAACTATTTGCTGTATTAGTGCTGGGGGATGGGGCATAGTGTCAGCTATTTGCTCATTAAGAGTCTTGTTTCTCCCAGTTGTTGCTCCCACTCTCCACAAACTCATCTAAGTTGATTCTCTATTGCGGGGGGGGGGGAGAGTGGTTAACTAACAGTTTTTTTCTTATGCATGTTTTCCTATTATTTTCATTTCATGCCTAGTTAACACTGGTACTTATGCACAACTTACTCAACAGTAAATTCTGTTTAAATCAACGGGACTTTAGTTTGCCTATGGCTCAAGATGTCAGGTCAATGATACTCAAGGGCATCTTGTTCAAGAATGTAGTTTCACTAAAAGATGATTCTTCCACTAAAAGCATTAGAGCTAGTTACTATGCATGTGTACTAGGCATTGGAAAGTAAGTTTGAAAAAGACTTATTAAAGTTCAAATGACATATTCCTGTACAGTATTTTCAATTCGCCCTTTTAAAAAAATTCAGCAACCCTTTCTGAAAACAACTTCTCCACAGGTGGCATTTTTAAATTGCAAAATGCAATAAAATAACAATAAAAGGCACCTTTCATTTCAATCATATCTAGGGTGATTTACGACAATTACAAGACATAATAAAATAACAGTAATTAATAAAATGTACCAAAATAAAACTTAAAAATTGCAACTCACTTGCTAAATATTGAGTGCTGAACTTAACTGAAAAGTTTTCACTTGCCTGCTAAAAATCTTCACACAAGAATTCAATCAGGGTTGTTTGGAAAGAAGAGGCACCAAAACAGAGAAGGCTCTGTTTCACAGCCTTTTCAACTTTCACACAGACATATGGGACACAACATTGGGCATTCCCAGATCTTTAAATTACTGTAATAGGTCTGTTAGCATTTTGCATCATTTTCAAAAGTTGAAACATGGCAAAATTGAATCACACAAGATATACAAAAGATATTCTCCATCTCTGAGTTCTTTGAGCTAAATTCAGCATTAGACTTACTTAGAATACACCTACTGAAATAAGTGTGACTTAATTGTGAATAACAAGTCCAATTGACTTCAATATGATCTCTTCTTAGCAGGACTAATGTTGAAGTGCAAGCTTATTCCTTAAATAGTTCTTCTTTAATATAATGTAGTGACTATGGCTGAAATCCATTTATGCAGTTCTACATGTGCAATGGTGATAACAACATATCATTGGCAAACTGCCACTGATTAAAGACAAATCACTAATTAAAAGTCGTTTTGGGGTACATGTGATTTATAAACAATGACATGAAATTGGATGCATCCTAAAATTTCCAAAAGAAGACTTTAATCAGCTTTGTTTTGCTGCTCAAGATGACATTATCACCACTCCACACATAAAGCTATGCTATAGGATATCAGCTCGTGTGTAGATATGAAGATATTATAATATGACCATTTAAGACAATAGATAGTAATATCTCCTATTCTGAAAGTGTTGGAAGAGAGGAAATCGCTTGCTCTATTTTTTTAAATTACATTATATCTCACCTTTGCATGGAATTCAGAGTACTGTACACACTTCTCATCCTTGTTACTTTATCTTCACACATGCATACAAAAAATCACAAAATAATTATCTTCTTTAAAAACAGATAGGCTGAAATCCAGTAGTAGGTCACAACTAGAGTAGTCCCGTTGAATCAGTGGGGATTAATGAGTCAATTCCTCTATAGATTCCATTGATTGTGACTAGTTATGACTTAACTGCTGGATTTCAGCCACTCTGAAATCAGAGGAGCAACATTAGGCACATCCAAATGACTGCATGTGTGATAAACTATTTTTCACTAGCAGCCCCCAATCACAAAACTAAATTTGAAGTCAAGTTTCAAAAGCATATGCTCCTTGAAAAGAAGGTGCGTAGCAGAACTAACAACAATCCTATGTAAGCTTTATCAAGAATATACTTTATCAATAAAAAAATCAGATCATAATTATTATTAATAAGAATTTACCCACAACACAATGTTGGATAGCTCAGTGGTTTAGGTCTCTGCTGTGGAATTGGAGATTGGGCGTTTGATT